ACTTCGCCAGCTACTTGATGGCAGCTCTCTAGTGTCGCATCGCATACAAATTGCAGACAATATGCAGCTTAATTACTACTAATTGATGCATACAAAAACTTAAGATGTTTTCGTATTTAATGACATATTTCACTGCTCGATGGCAAACAAACAACAAAGCGACGACGACAGCGACGACAGCAGCGCAAGTTATGGCTTGGCAAGGATTCAGGCAAGGATAACAGCGGCTGTTGAGGCTGGCACTGCGACAGGGGCTTTCAGGGGCTGGGGGCTGGTTGCTGGCGCATCTTAATTACCGCTAAAGCGCCTCGGCTGCAGTTACAGTCAAGTGAATGGCTGCGCTGTGCTGGCTGGCGTCTGCTGCCGTCTCCTTGCCGTCGCTTGCATATCATTAATAAATAAATCAAATTTCTGTGCGTGTAGTTTGGCGAGTGTCGTTCGCAGACAGCGCAGCTGCTAACAAATTAAGCAGATAAAGCCAGCCAACTTTTCGCCCCCCGCTCGCCTAATAGACAAGCATAACAAGACCTAAGTGACAGAGCAATAAAAGCAACAACAGCAACAGCAACAACCTCCGAGTGTCTTCCTGTGCTATGGCAAATGAGTTTTATCAATTTACCTACGACACTCTAATAATATTTCGCAATTACCGCAATTAACTGTAATCAAGAGCCGCGCGCGACTCGTAGCCAATTAATGTTGTCATTTCGCATTGACAGCCGAGCTCCTCTAGTTAACAGTTACCCCGGCCAGTGCCCATTTTAGTTACTTAGCCTAGCCACTAGAGTACCGTTAGCAGTTCTCCTTCCTCACTAATGCCCTGCAAACTCCACTTGTTCTTCCAGATGAGCCCACCATCAACCAGGCCACCACCAATGTGGTCGACGGCATTGACCTGGACGAGATCAAGGAGTTCGCCAAGGCGTTCAAGCTGCGACGCCTCTCGCTGGGCCTCACCCAGACCCAGGTGGGCCAGGCGCTATCCGTGACCGAGGGACCGGCCTACAGCCAGAGTGCCATATGCAGGTGAGCTATGCATAGACGAAGCTATTTACTATTTATAT